CTACATCAAACAAAATAAAGATGCGCTGTCACCCGTGAGGACTAAGATGGAATGCCTCATTTCCAGTAAAAAGGGTCTCCGGTTCTCTACACTCACCATACGAAACACAGCAGCGTTAAGCTGCTATTTTACGCTGGTATTCTGTGAGAGCGTGGTTCTTCCCCGGTCGAGCCGACCCATTCGTGCTACAACTTAAAAAAGTCTTTATGTAATTACGGAGAATTTTTTAGGTGACAATATTTATAGTTAAGACTACTAGAAATCTTATTTACGAAGTAAAAAGGCGAAAAAGCTGGAATTAGGGGCATAGCTGGGATTAGGGGCACCCACCCTATAATTAATTTTTACATATAAAACCAACATGCACGGCCGTAAGTATACCTGAGTATATGATTTTAATTCTAATTCGATACCTACACGCTTTCCCGAGATAAAGGGTCTTGACAGGCAGACGGACGGACGGACAGAAAGACGGACAAAGACGCCATCTTATGCTGCGACGTCATTAAACAAAACTTCTGAAATTTTGTAAATATGGTACCTATGTTTAGTCTTTTTACGTACTTAAATAAAATAAATAAATATCCTGGACATTTCACACATAAGTAGTCCCTGATATCCCTTAGTGTTCTGTGAAACCTACTGTACTAGGTATGGAGGCCTGAGAAATACATAGATAAGTAGGTAGTTATTTAACACCTAGATACAGAGCAAACATCAGTGTTCGTCACACAAATGTTTGGCATGTTTGGACATCGAACCCACGACCTCAGGATCCGCATCCAGAGCTACTAACCACAGAGCGAAAAGGTCAGTTAAATAGTTATTGGTTATCTACTTTTATTATTCTGATTCGGCTTCTGGCAGGCAGCACAGTTATTTAACCTACCTAAACACAATCACAACTCTTTTGGTGGTAAAAAAACTGGTAGGTAGGTACTAGGTAGTTAGGTATTATTATGTGAATACCTATTTATTATCATACGTGTCGATCATGGATGAGGGGGTGCGTTTCCACTGAGGCGGTCTTTACTCCGCCCCCCTTCATTTGAGCCGGGATCACATCCGGATTAACTCATTAATATAATACCTACATAATATCGAGTTTCTAAATAGATAATCAAATATAGATAATATAATACTCACCATCATCTTCTGATTGGAAAATTTACTCCACTCACACGATAACAAAAACCCGCGCAAACGTCTTGCCGCAATCAAATTTGCCAGTTTGATCCTCAAACGCAACGTATCAGCTAACGCATATTTCTTACCTTCTTACTCTAACGAAATAGTTCTCTGTCACACGCAGAACGCGACGTTGCCGCTTTGTGTTTGCGTACCTATATGTCAGTTTAGGCTCTGGATCCACTTAGCTTAGGTAAATGTCGCATATAAGTTAAATATATTCTGGATGTAAGAAATCGTATTCAGTATGATTTTTTCGACCGTTGATGGACCAACAAATATTGGTCAAATCGCTGACGAGTATGTTGAAAATTAGTAACCACAGATCCACCGACGTCACACGCGCATCAAGGATTGATCAAAGTATATTATTTTGCGCGACGCAGAGCTGAGTATATACGTAAAATAGGTGGATCAATATTTGTTCTAACTTCTCACTGGAGCAACATTTACCGTGAAAGGTTCTATATATATATATAATCTCTCTCTCTATATATATATAAAACTTGATATAGCCATGCTACAGCCAAAGACATTTAAGTAGTAGTAGTAGTAATAGACCGGACATCAGCAGCAAAATTGTCGTCTGTAACTTATGTCCTATAGGATATATCTCCGTTAGTCTTAATGACATCGTCATAAAGTCAAGACGCATTCGTTTCATATATCTAAAAAATATTTTTAAAGAAAATATGCCCGGTTGTTGCTTAAGATATTGTAAGTCACATTGTATGGAGCAAAAAATGAACGTAATTTCGGTTTATTATCGTAAATATAACATATATTTACCGAATAATCTTTAAATTTTATTATTTCTAGTAGATTGAAGAACTGCTGTGTTTCGTATGGTGAGTGTAGAGAACCGGAGACCCTTTTTACTGGAAAAGAGGCATTCCATCTTAGTCCTCACGAGTGACAACGCATCTGCGTTTTGATTCGCAAACGAAGATAAATGTAGATGTCCATGGGCCACAGCATCCACTTACCATCAGGAGGACTGTGTGCTCGTTTGTCACTCGATCCTATAAAAAAAAAAAAAGATTGTTCTAGAACATTTATTTTTATTGTAATAAGCGCCCTCTGTTATCCAGTAAACGTCACTATTTAGTTACCAATGTTAAAGTTAGTGATTGACGACGTTTATCGATTGGAATTATCGATAAAAAATGCAGGATGCCGATTTAATCCTTTACAATATTTAAAGAGATAAAACAATCAACGATACTGTACCCATACCAACAAAAATGAGTAGCATATACCAACTACGCTAAGTAGCGACTACTTTGTGTGGAGCAAGGGTGGGAAATTTTTTTAGGCATGCTGATGAGATTTTCTGTGTTGCTTAGGAGCATGCTGAGGATACTTGCTGTGTTGATGTTTAGCAATACAGCAAGTATTCTCTTTTACATACCAGGCTTTATTTTCTGGTGGCTTTACACCGGGCTTCATTGTCTGGTGGTTTTCAAGGACAAAACCATTATAGATCCTCGCTTACAGTGATAGGAGAGGGCTATAGGTTTCTTACATTCAAAATAATTTGTACTGTAAAAGATATTAGATGAAAGAAGTTGTAGGTTAAACCCGAGTTAGAAAATAAGGTAAAAACTTAAAATAACAATTTTTATTGATGTGGGTAGTGTCTTTTAGTACTGCAGCTGATGAAACGTGAAAAATCGTGAAACGGCTTTTAAGTTCAGTGTTTTCCTAAAATATTATAGATTTGAAGTGTATTTTTGTAATAGAAACGAATTTAAAAACATCGAGGCGCTCTCTTATTGGATTTGGCGTTTCTCGATGTGTCTTTAACGCCGACTGTATTGTCTGCTATCTTCTCTAATCACTGTAGTGTAACACAGGCTCGGCACGCACTTACTAATCACGTTCACTCTCGCCCGAGGCTCTCGTGTAATTGACGTGGTGCGCTCGAGACAGTGACTTATATATAAATGTATGTTTGTGTATGGTAAATTATTAGTAAATAAAACAAATAACAATATTTACTGTATACTATATACAGGGTATTTTTGGAACGCTCCCGAAAACTAAGACAGGCGACAGCACCAAGTATACCTTTGATCATGGGCGACAAATAAATTCGATCCTGATGAAATTAAAATCATATTTTTTACAACGTTTTATTACCTTTATTCACGCGCCATCATGTTAGTACAGCTAAATGAAACGATAATTTCATAAAAAATATCATGAAAATACTGAAACATAAAACCAGCAGTGGAATGACTGAATTGATATCACCTGATTAAAGGTCAATGGACGCGCGAACGCAAATTCGCGCGGCCCGCAACTAGCGGGCCATACCACAATACCTAATAATTTACAACACTTGTCTACTAAATACCTAACTTATCTACTTAACCTACTATTTTGCCACTGTGCTTGTCTCTACGTAGCCACTTTAATCCGAATTTACAGGTTAAATAACCCAAATAACTGGCTCGATTTCGGCGGCTCAAATTGTGCTCCATTCATTTCAAGGCAGATTTGGGCTCGGTGTTGCGTCTCCTCATGCAGGCGGGGCATCATCGTGTGATCTTCGACACAGTCCGTACGTAGTTTGTCGAAAACATCCACGATCCATTAACGCATTTTGTCAGCACTATCACACTCACGATTAAAAACCCTTTCTTTCACATACCCCACAGAAAGAAGTCTAACGGGGTCAGATCTGGTGAGCGAAGTGGCCAAGCGTGTGGTCCTAGTTCGCCAAATCCAGCAATCATCAAATAATTCGGTGAGGCGCTCACGGACGAACCTCACGACATGTGGAGGTGCACCATCATGTTGGAACCATGTGCGGCGATATTCAGCCAACGATAGGTCGTCTAAAATGTCAACCAACTGTTCATTTATAAAGCTTAGGTATCGCTGTCCGTTCAGTCGCTGTGGCAGAAACACTGGTCCCAGTATGCGATCCTTAAATAAACCTGCCCATACGTTAACCGACCATCGGGTTTGGTGCCCGGCTTGTCGAACAGCGTGCGGGTTAACCTCTGAATACACGTGTGTATTTCTTCGGTTCCACAGGCCGTTTCTGGTAAATGTCGACTCATCCGTCCAGATAATGTGCTCAATGGAACCAGGCACACGTGGTTGCTGGTATAATAAGCAACGGTAGAAAACTCGTCCGCGGTCGTGATCGCCGGGAACTAAAGCTTGCACTTTGTGCAATTTGTATGGGCGCATTCGGTTACGCTTCAACACTTTGTGCACTGCACAGTATGACACACTTGTTCCATCCCGACGTCTTAACAATATATTTAGCGATACTTCGTGTACCTAGGTTCGGATACCTAACATGTTGCCGTATTCAGGATCACTATAAACGTACGCGTTAGGCATTATTAAAACAAAAAAGAAACAAAAAAACGTAACAGCAAGAATAATACCAACACGTAATCACAAGTAATGCTTAGCTTTGTTTTGCTATTTTTAGCTAGAGGATGCCACACGCGCACTTGATCAAAGTTTTTGTATATAAATGTTAGCAATGCCTGCTCTATAGTATACCATCTCTATGGCTACAGCTAATATTAATGGTTTATTATCTAGTTGTAGCATGAATTGGTCGGTTCGACCGGGGAAGGACCACGCTCTCACAGAATACCAGCGTAAAATAGCAGCTTGATGCTGCTGTGTTTCGTAGGTTGAGTGTAGAGAACCGGAGACCCTTTTTACTGGAAAAGAGGCATTCCATCTCAGTCCTCACGGCTGACAACGCATCTGCATTTTGATTCTTAATTAAGGATCAATGTAGTATAATGTAATGTATAATAAATGAGATAATATTTCAGATCAGCATTAGTGAAACCCGTTACTGTGAACGTGGGCCGCGCCGGTGCGGCCTCGTTGAACGTTCGCCAAGAGTTGGAGCCCGTGAAGGCTGAAGCGAGGACGGTGCATCTGTTGCAGTGCCTCCAGAAAACCCCCCCTCCTGTGCTAGTGTTCGCGGAGAGAAAGCAAGATGTGGACGCTATACACGAGTATCTGCTGTTAAAAGGTGGACTTAACTTGAAATCTTTTCTTAATTGATGGTAGATGTCTATGGACCATAGCATCTACATAATTTGGACTGTGTCCTTGTTTTTTATTTTGTTTAAGTACTATCAATATTAAAAGTTTACCCTTTAACTATTCCTGTTAAGCTTAAAATGCTTGTGTTAGACGTGGTTCACGACAGTAGTTGAATCGCGGATTCGAACCCACGACAAATTGAGTTCGCGGTTCGCACCCTGCCATTATGCTACTGTCGCTTCGTTGTTTGTCACCCTTCTTCTATCAAAAATATCTGTCAAACCGCCTGCCAAGTATAGCAATATACAGCAAACATTCCACCTATGGGGGAGGCTTATGTTCACCAGTGGACTTTTGATATTTACTCCTTAATATAATTATTATTACCTGTGCGATTAAAGAATGGGATTGAAAATGGCGTCGCCTCTATTTACGTCTCGTTCGCACACTGTCGCTGTCTATACTCACACCCGCCGGTAAAGACCGCAAAAAAATACCCTTTACGTACGTTCTATAACTTCAGTCCAACTTGTCATTGCAATCAATGATAACAGAATGCGACAAGGTGCAAAAAAAATTCCAAAATGCTAATTTGTGTGTTACGACGCGATCTGAGTGTATCCTTCATAATTATTGATGATTTTATTTGTTAATGTTTTTGTATAAAATATTTATATGCTACTGAGACATTAGTGATTATTTTTAAAATTTCATTTGTCTCTCCGAGTTAATCTTCGGAAAAGCTTCAGTTATTGTAGTAAAACTTCACGAACAAATATAGAGTAATACCAGGAGTGATCTAGACTAATTTTTTTATTAAGATGTTTGGTTTGGATGCTTGTCTTTTGAGCCGTATCTTCATTTTATTCGGGATCTTCGTTTTTATAGATTTTTTCTTCACAATATGTAGATGCGTCACATTGCAAAGTTTTCGGGAGATTTTGACGACAGCTCAATCCACTGGACAGTCGATGACGACAGTCACTCAAGTTCATAAGGCGCCTAAACGATCAAATTAACTTGAGGTTTTTATCAACATCGAAACACGTTTTTCGTCGTTTTCTCTAATAGTTCACATTCGCAGACAATACACAAAATCATCACTTTTACGTATCAACATCCACTTCAAACGATTATTTAAACGATAAAACAGTAGCAACAATCCGTCGACGGTCAAATCGCTGCCAAAACTCTAGGCTAAATTAATCGGTATTTTTAAATGTTATTTTAAAATTAATGTACCTGCTTGCGTGTACGATTCTTTTCAAATATTTTCCCATTATTAGAAATTTTCAAATTAACTAAATAATATAACGTTATAACTATATACCGTTATTAGCGGGTTTTCGCTATTTGTACTGTACATGCTGACGGTACAGGCTCGATGAGCCGCCGTTTCTAATCCCATTCTTTATCCGTACGAAATGTACATACTATATAATTAAAGATGTTAAAATTAATCGACTAAGTAATTGTGGACTGTAGGACTCCTTTCCGGCCTGTGAATTCATCCGCGTAGTTTACCGGTTACCCTCTTCATTTCCAATGTTAAATGTGTTTCGATCGCAAGGGTATAGAGAACCAATATAATTAACAAGTTAAATTTGATACGTGGTAGAGCCATACTGCAGCTATATATGTAGCACGAATTTGTCGGCTCGACCGGGGGTGGACCACGCTCTCAAAGAATACCAGCGTAAAATAGCAGCTTAACACTGCTGTGTTTCTTATGGTGAGTGTAGAAAACCTATGTGCCACATAGTCTATGGGCCACAGCAACCACTTACCATCAGGTGGACTGTGTGCTCGTTTGTCACCCTAATTTTATTAAAAAAAAATATACAAGGTGTGATGCATTCTATCTAGTCCTTAGAGGTCATAACGCGTCTGTAATCTGTAGTTATTTATTTAAAGTTGGCTGCAGGTATCCATGGAATGCAGTAGCCACTTACCATCAGATGGACTGTTGGTTCGTTTGTTAGTTCAATTTAAAAAAAAGCTAAGTTCCGGGTGAAAAATAAAATGGTGTGTCTTACCTAGTTTGAGAAGCTAGTTCTTCTGAGCAATGTCTCGTTTACAGGCGAAAAACGTATCGTATTTATTGACGGTGGTTTTTCTTACCTAGTGTATTTGTGTTTGGGGGTAGTGGTACCGAGTTTAGTGGTGTCAGTGATTGTGCACGCAAATATGGGAGGGAAGGAGGTCCTCTTTGAATGAAGTAAGACGCCATCTTGTTTTACACGCGGATCTAATACAATTAATTCTCATATCTTTAATATAATGGATTTTTACAAAATAATTGCTTGAATATATTATACATTCCTATATACTCACGCTTGTCACCCAGTGAGGTATGCAGAGACTATACGGACATCCATTTAGTATGATCCTGACACCTCCCCGCTCGCCTACTTCACGTCCATATACATACGCATAGGCGTCGAGTAAGGCAACACTCATCTACAATATATCGCCAATTTGGTCGATGAACTTCGTCTGAGGTGTCCAACCATTCACTTCGGAACATAAATAACAAGCTCAGAAAATAGTTGACAAAAATGATAGCGTCTTGAAATATCTTATATATAAAATGAGTTTAATTATTTTTTTTTATGATTATTCAAATAAAAATGTATTTTAATTAAGGCTACAGAAAAAACATCAATTTTTGGGAATATGAAATGACTTTAATCATTTTGCACTATTCAAGTGTTGCCATATACTATATTCATACTATTTTCGTATACACTTTGTAAGACTACCAACACAACACACAAACACAAAATATTTTTCATAGGAAGTTATTATTAGTAGTAACTATACTATCAGTAATAATAAAAATAAAAGTGATATGGTTGAAAATAAATCTCTTACAAAAAACTTCCTGCAATAATACATTATCTCATCATAGTACTATGTAACAATTCCATTTAATGTTATGGCAACACTAGCTAAAACAAAATGTCACTGTCTGGAACAAAGGCCCAGAAGCCATGCCAGAAATATACATTTACAGTATGCAAATATATAATAGAGATACAATAGTCTAAAAACTCTCAATTATGTAGGTAGGTACATTATGCTGAGAATGTATTAAGCTTACATCAAACAACCACAGCACGCATCACTTTTTCCAAGTGACATAAGACAACCTAAAAAGGTTCAAATCTAAATATTTTTTGACTTATTTTTGATTTATTTCTCACTTCTCACATTTTGACAAAATTCTTTGACAAAGTTACTCAAGGACTGATGCTTAAGATTTTAAGATAGTTTTGATATATAGACACTACCATTTCCTCTCAACTAATTTTATGTATGAACGTCTGCTATTGTTCTTTGCTTGATCGCTCTTTTGTAATTTATTCTTTCTATATGACCACACTACCTCAGCATTCCTTTATTAATCCAGGTCACAAACCACACTTTTCTCTTATCACAGTTTCTCATCCTGTCATTTAGAATTACCCCTAACATACTCTTTAGTGACCGCATTTCTACAACATTTGAATATATTATTTGTATTATTTAATATAAACTCATTTCGAACAGGCGTTGAAGCGGTCGCTATCCATGGTGGGAAGGACCAAGAAGAGAGATCCAGAGCAGTAGAAGCGTTCAGAAGAGGGGAGAAGGACGTCTTAGTGGCTACCGACGTGGCGAGTAAAGGTGAGTACATGTACAGAGTGCAATGATTTGCGTACTATACCAAACCTCACTGTTAACCGTAATATATTCCGTGTGTTGGGGGTGTAATAATATCCATTACTCCATATCGTCCCGTTGATGTCGTAAGAGGTGACAGAGGAAAACAAACCAGGAAATGAATTAAATCTACGTGGTAGAGCCATGCTGCAGCTATATTATGGTTGTAGCACGAATGGGTCGGCTCGAACGGGGAAAGACCACGCTCTCACATAATACCAGCGTAAAATAGCAGCTTAACGCTGCTGTGTTTCGTATGGTGAGTGCAGAGAACCGGAGACCCTTTTTACTGGAAAAGAGGCATTCCATCTTAGTCCTCATGGGTGACAACGCATCTGCATTTTGATTCTTTATTGAAGATAAATGTAGATGTCTATGGGTCACAGCAACCACTTACCATCAGGTGGACTGTGTGCTCGTTTGTCACCCTATCCTATAAAAATAATTATGATGATGATAATGATGAAGTAAACTAAACTATATTAAATCTAGCTAGCTAGATAATAGTGTACAAGACATTCCAGCCAATTGTAAAATAGAATAAAACTCTCTTTTAAATCAGGTTATAGTAAATGGTGTACCTCATGACACCAGCTGATTAGTGACCGCCAATACGGTTTTCGTCAGGGTCGATTAGCTGGTGATCTTCTGGTTTACTTGACTCATAGATGGGCGGAGGCAGTAGAGTCCAAGGGGGAGGCATTGGCCGTTAGTTTGGACATAGCGGAGGCCTTCGATCGGGTCTGACACAATGCGCTTCTTTTGAAGCTCCCTTCCTATGGGCTTCCCGAGAAATTGTGCCATTGGATCACCAGTTTCCTTGCTGATCGGAGCATCAAATTCGTAGTGGACGGTGCATGCTCTGATTACAAGCCTATTAACGCTGGTGTTCCACAAGGTTGTTGTTTCTTCTGCATATCAATGATATGTTGTAAACTGATAACATTCATTGCTATGCGGATGACAGCACGGGTGATGCTCTATACACCGGCCGTGCCAATATTTCTCGAGCAAACGTCGCCGAGTACCGGAACAAACTAGTGCCTGAAGTTCAGTCTTTGCTGAACAAAGGATTGGGGGCGACTAAATTTAGTCTAGTTCCATCCCCAGCAGACACAAGTTTGCGCGTTTACCGCTAAAAAGAATCCCTCTGTCGTTTCTCCTTAGTTTCAAGGTACTCTTCTTGCTGCCTCAGCTAGCATCGTAGTTATCGGCGTCCACATATATTATTCTACTATTCTATATATATACTATTCGTATGCAATTTCGTGATCACTTGGAAGAGAAGGCCAAATTGGCCTCTAAAAAGCTTGGCGTGCTCAGCAGAGCGGGACGGTATTCCATGTTGGCACATCGCTTGCAACTTTACAAAGCGCAAGTTCGGCCTTACATACTGTAAATATGTGAATACTGTTCTCATCTCTGGGCCGGGCTCTCCAGTGCCAGCCCCTTGCACTTGACCGCATCCAGCGCAGTGCGATTTGAATCGTTGACGACCGAGTTCTTTCTGATCGGTGCGATTTACTGGCGCTGCGTAGGAATGTTGCATCTCTGCATTTTCTATCGCATCTACCACGGGGAGTGCTCTGAGGAATTGTTCGGATTAATTTCAGCCACCAAATCTCACGAACGCACATCGCGTCAAAATTCACGATACAATCCTCACCATCTGGATGCTTGGCGGTCCACCACTGCACGTTTTACTGGGAGTTTTCTTCCTCGTACAACTTCCCTGTTGAATTGTTTACCTCCAGCCATTTTTCCGGACCGAAACGACTTAGGGATCTTCAAGAAAAGAGCTTACTCCTATCTAAAAAGGCCGGCAACGCATCTGCAATTCCCCTGGTGTTGCGGTTGTTCATGGGTGGCGGTAGTCACTTACTATCAGGTGAGCCGCATACTCGTTTGCCCCCTTTTCTATAAAAAAAATTCTTGTAGTGTAATTAATTTACATATATTCAAGCAATAAATTAACAATCTATATATACATGCCTTGTAGTGGCGATGTAAGTCAATCCACTATCCCATATCAAAACACCGTGGATGCCGTAAGAAGCGACAGAGGGAACCTGAAACAGGAGATGGGCAGCAGCATCTTCCTAATAATAAAAAAACATGTCAAAATAATAAATAACTGCGGTAGCCAACCCGCCTGCTAAGTGTGGCAAGTGTGGCATATAAATAATATATTTTATTTTATTTTGTTCGGAAAACTTTTTTTATAGAATATAGATATATATATATATATATATTCCCCATATAGTCCCCATAAAGAAACATAAAAGTTAAAAAAATTAAAATATCTAAACACATTGGGGCAATATGGCGGACTTTTTTCTATAAGATAAGGGTGAAAAGCGAGCACACAGTCCACCTGCTGTTAAGTGGTTGCTGTGGCCCATAGACATCTACATCTATCCTCGTTTACGAATCAAAATGCAGATGCGTTGTCAGCCGTGGGGACTAAGATGGAATGCCTCGTATCCAGTAAAAAGGGTCTCCGGTTCTCTACACACTACTCTAAAAAAATTTATGGGTATAGGTATAGTTTTAAAACATTATCAATTGCTAATTTTACGTTATTTGAGTCCCAGATACCTTTTTCCTTCGTCTCCATTATATCAAATGATCTGAAAAGATAAATAATATAATTTTTAAATTGTCTATACAAATTAATAAAATTGAAGTGTCTGTTTGTAATGTCAAAATAACAGCATATCATTAAATGCATATGAAAGTATATACGGTACTTATAACAAAAACACAATTTTTAAAATATTTGTCTGTCTGTTTGTTGCGGCTAATTTCCGAAACGGTTGGACCGATTTCGATGGGACTTTCACAGGCCGGTGGCTGATGTTATAAGGAGTAATAGTAGGCTACTTATATTTTAGAAAAAGAATTAGGGTCCCGGGCATCATATTTAAAACCCTAAATTACACGCGGGTGAAGTCACGGGGTACAACTAGTATGGAATAAAACAAGCACACTACTTTGTCAAAATATACTTGTCCGGTACGAGGGAACTTGGATTGGTCAAATTCAATTTTCCGATACTAGGGGCTCTGTTACTGTCCGGACTTAGGGAAATAGCATACAGTAGTACAATTTTGATTATGATAAAGTTTATTAATAATTCCGCCAAAAAAGATATCAATGTAAAGCGTACTTACCAATGATTGAAACAAAAGCACTGCAACCAATTTATTCACTCTAAATAGTGGTTTATCACGTTGTAAATATTACTCGATGCAACAAATTCCCGCGTAAAATGACTAACGTTTCACATGTAAGCCGTATCGGGCGAGACTGACGTCTCCCGCGCCGCGGGCGGGAATTGTCCCTTGAGTTTTACGTCTTTCTATATGCGAGTGCTAATAAGGCCGGCCATATACATACGGAATTCCGTTTCGAGATTCCGTTTCGATATTCCGATTCGGAATCCCGAACGCAGCAAGTCCATATAAAATCTATGACCCGCCACACACGTACGGTAGTTTTCCGTTCGATATTTTGCGGGCAAAACGGGATTCCGTTTGTGTGTGGTCGACCGTTCGGAATTCCGAAACGGATTCTCGAAACGGAATTCCGTATGTATGTGGCGGGCCTTACAATGCTATTTCTTGTTTCGACGTGATTTCTCCGGTACTATGTGCTGTCCGGCGTTAAGGGAATTCCCCCTACTCGTTTAAAGATATTATTGACAATAACAAAAACAATATTTTCCTAAATATCTAACTATAGTAAAATGTGTAAGATGTCGAGGCGGTACGTTGAAATGTAAACAAGTCATAACTATACTTGTAATAAAATATGTAAGTATTCGACAACAGCATATAACTTTAATTAATTTCTGTAGGGTATATAAAGAGTGTGTCTGCATTGTATATAGTTTAAAAAAATGTTAATACAAACCAGTTTATAGGGCGCAGTTTACCCCTTCGGAACATTAGTGTGACTATTCTGACATAATATAAATTTATAAATAAGCTATTAAATAGAATTAACCGTAAAATGACATTTAAATTATTTGTGTGATCCAAAATAGGGTATAGCGAAATTTTAAATAGAAAAAATACTCTCTGTTTGTACATAACAAACAGGTAGTAAACTATGTAACGAGATATCAACTTTATAGTATTACTTGTATTTGAAAATCAGATCTTATTACTTAGGACATTGACATTATTTTCGTGATGAGTTCTTCCCTGGTGTTTGAAATTGTGGCGAACACCCTTTGCTTCATATAACTCCACAGAAAATAATCCAAGGGTGTCAAATCGGGTGAGTGAATTGGCCACGCTACTAGACCATCTGATCCTAGATCCATCTAGATCCACTGCAAATGGTTGCTATTCAAATAGTCTCTCATTGCTCGAGAAAAGTGCGCAGGTGCACCATCAAGCTGGACACACATACGTTGACGGTACGACAAAGATAACTCCATGAGGCTATCAGCAAACTGTGTCTCTAAGAACTCCCAAAATCTTACGTCGTTTAATACAGGAGGCAATCCAAACGGCCCTATCAAACGATCGTTAATTATGCCTGCCCATACATTCACTGAAAATTCGTGTTGAAATGAACTTGGGTTAACCGAGCACCAGATATGATCATTTCTGTGATTTGTAATTCCAGTTCATGTGATTTTTGCTTCATCAGTCCATAGTAATTTTTACAGACAATAGAATAGAATAGAATAAGTCATTTATTGTGTTAGTTGTAGGTTTAAAAGATTTAACACTATAAAAGTAATTAAGTATCACCACAACCTGCCTAGAGGCTTTCAATATTATTAAAATCTTGGAACTTAAAACATTATCTCATTATTCATTAAATCAAATCAAATAACACTGATAATAAAGCATAATGTCATACAATGAAATATTTCAACAAACGTGGATAATAAATAATAATGTCAAAAGTACAATGGAATTATGCCAGTATAAGCTAAGTCTGTGAATGGAATATTGATATGTCAAAATACATGTAAGCTTATAACTAAAACGTAGTGATTTTAATATTCTTTGCTTAAAACATAATTCAGAAAATATTTCAAATGTCAATTAATTTAGAATGTAAGTTTGTAGCTGAAATAATTTTTTAAGGAGTAAAAACATCTTTCAGTCAATAATTCTAATAATTTATGCTTAAATTTTTTCATTTCTAAATCTTTTAATTTGTCAGGTAAATGATTATATATTGAATGACGATTTTGTCTGACACTTTGATTGATCTACGAACAAAATACAGATATTGTGGAAAAATCTGTTACAAAAATATCTTGGATCTATCGATCTCTTGGAGTATGTGAACCCATTTTTTCGTAATGTTAATGATAGACAATATTGTTACCTTCTCTAATTTTTTTATGGTCGCGACTGTTACGAATGTTGACGTCTACTATAATAGCTTATCCTTGTGAGATTGTCTTTAGTACGCATATGCTTAATACTGTCGTTAACTCTGGTCCCGCGGGCCGTAGGTCTGGACTTCGCGAATATCCAGCACGTGATCAACTACGACATGCCGGAGGACATCGAGAACTACGTGCACCGCATCGGGCGCACGGGGCGCGCGGGCGGCGAGGGCGTGGCCAGCACGCTGCTGGGCCGCGCCGCCGACGACAGCGTGCTGCGCGACCTGGCGCACCTGCTGCGAGAGGCCGGACAGAAGGTGCGCCGCTTCATCACTCGCATCCTACTTCACACAAATACTCACAACTGCGCAACTCACACGCACCATCCACTTCAATAACCATCTCGCACTTCATTGCTTACATTCCACTCACAATAAACGGTAGCGAAGCCTACATAGGAGCCGAGAGGCCGGGCTTGCCCTATCAAACTACTCAATCAATAATATCAACTAATAAAATAACTTTCAAACTATGTCAAATTTCCCGCGCGCTCCTCTGTTCTACACAGGTCTTAACCTCGTAGCCATATTATTATGTAACGTCAACAGACAGCTTTCAATTCGAAATGCACTGATTCGTGTTTTCTCTGTCTAAAAGCGAACACGCAATGAACTGTGAAAATTAATCGCCGCAACAAAACTACGCGATACTGTCTTAAAAAAGGAATTGAGTTGAGCGATTAGTCGTCTCTCTCGCACGCGTGAGCTTTTTACCAGGCTTTCGATAAGACGATCGCTCCCTTTCTAACCTGTGGCAAAATGTTCTATAATGAAATATAACTACGATTGTTTATATAACAATTAGTATGGAGCATTAGGCTGGGCTTTTTTTAAATAAATAATAAATTTATTCACTTTGTTTACATGCAGTGTATCTTAAACTATTCCAATACTCGTTTATTTTGGCAACTTACTAGTAAGTTATGATTGATACTTTCGGTGTAAAGTTAGGGGCGCGTGGGCGATACGTTTGCAAGTTCACTTCACATTTCAATGTTTTTTCTGTGTGTATACTTGAGCTAACGAATATTGCGAGTTGAAAATTTATGCTTTTTTAAAGATTTTTAATGAAAATGGAGAATAATAGTGTTCCTTGTGATAATTGACATGCATTGACGCCTGTATTTCTCAGACGAGTATAACCAACAAACGGCAATTTAATACATCTGTTTACAAAACTCATTGGATTGTTTGCTGCTCACATACCAATAATTTGTACTGTTGGTGTTGCATATTCTTTTCCAAGGACAAAACAGCATGGAATACTACTGGATATTATGATTTAAATATCTTATCTGGAGCCATTAAAAAGCATGTAAATACTCAAAAACACATGAATGCGGTAATTTTGTTTAGTAATTTTCGAACAAATCGGATTGAAACATCTTTGTCGCGCCAGTTATCCGACGAAATTACAAAACACAACATGCGTGTTGATCACATCCGTAGCGTTTTTCAAAGATTACTCAATATTGTTTGCCATTTATCAGCTTCTTTCGAAGTACGATCTCGTGTTAGAGAAGCATATGCAGCATCAACAACGCGACAAACGACCGAGTTATTTATCTAGTGCAATCCAAAAATGACATTATTCATTCTGCTGCATGCTGATGTAATGAAAACTCACATCGAGTACGAAGTAAAATTGCATTTAGCATACAATTTAACTACAGTTAAGTCTGGCAACTTTACCAATGGAAGGTAACTTTGCCATCGGTGATGTACTGGTACAAAAATACGATTAACACGGAAAACGTAACGTTTTTTGAGATTTGTCATTTTTTGTATGAAAATTTAAGAACTAATTAACGGCATTATTTTCAATATGGCAATATCAGAGTAAATTTTGACATTTTATTTTACCGCGAAATTGTGCCGGCGACTTAAACACCTTTTTCAGTGCTCCAGAACTTTTGTGTATTTTAGTTGAAATACTGAATATACGTACCTATGGTTAGGAACTGTAATGTTTCATTTTATAGTAGTCTTAATATTTGTCTATAAAACTAACTTGGCAAAGTTACCATACTAGTGATTTCACGATGTGACGGTTACTTTGCCATGTTTTGCTACAACCAAGGGTTGTCACTTTTAGTTTATATTTTGACCCGACTATGGCGATTCAAATTATCAATCTATGTATATATGTTTGTATAGATGTTTCACCGTAGCAGACTATTGGACCAATTTTATTTTTAATAAAAATGAATCGATTGAGATTTAATCGATTCATTATTATTAAAAGAAAAAGAAATGAAAAGAGAAATCTATATTATTTTACTGCGTTTTCGGGTATTAATAATATTATTACTTTTTAGTATTTTTCATATTTTCAACTTAGAGTATTAATATAATTTGCACCCAAAGAACAGTGTCATTTTAATCGCTTACTTATACCTTAACTTAACTGGTTTTGCTATTGTTGGAAATCAAAATTTAGCTTGCTTATAAAAAAAAAATCCTGATCTTAAAAAATGATATCACTTTCGGAAATTGGGGCGCCAAAGTAGACGTAAATTAGGAAATATCACATATAAAAATTACTCAGAAGAAATGCTGAATGTCGCCGTCAACTTAGTATTAACAAAAGAGACTATCTACTATTCCTATTATTTGTAATATAATAGAAAAATTGGATCAAAATTTTCTAAGTTGATGAACGTGTTTTTGTAATGTTCCCTTATACTGGGGCGTTGCCGGAGACACATACCCAAGGTTGTACATATATATGGTGGTCGGCTGACCGACTGCTAGTACTAAGGTTGCACAATGACTAGTCCTATATTAGGGACTTATCATAGTAAGGTCTAACGAACCAAAGCATTAATATAGAAGGTCTGTATGATGCATAAGCATTATGATAGCAGAGTTATGACTATGAAACGGAAAAGCGATTTTACATACCAAGACGTACAATAAAGTTAAACGGCTTCATATGCTTTCGCCTGGTGCACCGCAGAGATTAAGTGAATCTGAAGAAAAAGACAATTATTTTTATGTTTATTAATTTATAATTATTGAGAATTTAATTAAAAAAACGTATACCTCCTAAAAATTGTTGTGAAAATATTGAAATAAAAAAGTTAAGTAAAGTACGTAATTAAGATTTTGACAACCCTGACACATATCTTCAAGGTTGTATGAAATATTGAAAAATGGGAGGGCAACTTTGCCAGAAGAGTAAACGTTGCTTTTTACAACACAATTAAAGGGGCAAATCATAACTCTGAGTATTGTGTATTATATTATGAGGTTAACTTACCTTCAGCCTTCAAGTCAAATCCTATTATTTTCGTTATAAACCCCGATGGCAAAGTTGCCACAAAGTGAGGTCAACTTTGCCATTTTGTTTTTTTAAGTATTTTGTTAATATAATGAAATAAAAACAAATAATATAATGTTATTATTTTGTTTAAATCACTGATAAATACCAAATCTATGAAGAATATAATGTTACATTTAATATTGACGCCCAGTGTGACAGTACATTTTTTGTTGGAAAATTGGTCCTAAACTTTTAAGTCCTTCCAAAAATGGCAAAGTTGCCAGGTTTCACGGTAATTATAGTTTTACGGATTATATAGCGTTCCGGGAAGTCTGCAGTCTGTGACAGGATCGCCCCCGCTACTACATTAGATTTGATAGATCACAAATCCTCGCTAAAGAACGAGGCTATTGAAATCAAAAAACATCCTAATTTCAATAGAGAAGATGGCTGACTGCTACCATCTGCTTGAGATCCTATAATTGATAAAATTAAATCCCAACTCAATTATGCAACTGCAAGACTTCAAGGTACTATAAGTTCATACTGCGAAGACCGAAACAAAAATTAATAATTTTAATCTGGAGGTAGCCGTGGTTAACTATGACATTGAGACGTCAAACACCCGTGACCATGGGTGCTGTAAAGTGCTCGAAACGTCGGGAATGTAAATTAAGTTAGTATACGCGATAAAATCCGCAAAACTTAGTTTTATTTAAACTTACAGAAGTGGTCAAGTGTATTTAAAAGAGGTAAGGAAAGCATCTCAGATGACCTCCGCACGGGTGGACTAATCACATCGGCTACAGAAGAAAATGTGAAAATTATTGAAATACTTGTATTAGAAGATGCACGAGTAAGAATCAAGATGTTAGCAAAAATGAGTAACGTAGCCCAGATCTAGCCCATTGTGACTACTATTTATTCCCAGACTTAAAAACAGACCTTCGGGGAAAGTGACGACGATTACGAGCTTAAGTCCGCTGTAAAAGAGCATTTTTCAGGCCAAGACGAAGAATATTCAAGGCTTTTTTTCACGAACAAGTAAATGTAATGTACGTGGTAGTGACATGCTGCAGCTATATTAGTAGTATAGTTGTTGCACGAATGGATCGGCTCGACCGGGGAAGAACCACGCTCTCACAGAATACCACCGTAAAATGGCAGCTTAACGCTGCTGTGTTTCGTATGGTGAGTGTAGAGAACCAGCGACCCTTTTTACTGAAAAAGAGGCATTCCATCTTAGCTCTCACGGGTGTCAACGCATCTGCATTTTGATTCGCAAACGAGGATAAATGTTATGTCTATCGGCCACAGCAACCACTTACCATCAGGTGGACCGTGTGCTCGTTTGTCACCCTATTCTGTAAAAAAAAATGTATTGATGTCATGGGAGACTATATTGAAATATATAGGTATATATATATATATATATATATATATATATATATATATATATATATATATATACATACATATAAATTACAATTTTTTTTCTTACATACCCATAGCGAGAATACATTGAACGTACCTCGTACGTCTCATACCCCAAATTTTTTACTCGTACCCCCAATTTGCGACTTATGTCCGACAATAGTATAATGATTAAGGGTACATACTGCATACTCAAAATGTTACGGGTTCAAATCCACCATTCAACTACTGTCATAAACTACTACTCTAACTCTACTCCTAACACAACCATTTTAAGCTTCTTTATATTATGTACTTGGAATGGTTAACCAGAAATATTAGTTATATTAATAACGGTCAAGTCCTAACCAACGCATTGCCTAGTGATTGACCAAAAATATGTACCCAAATGTCACAATCTGGTAATTGGCAGCGGCTTTACCATTGCAAGAGTGTCGATTCTACACGCATCAGCCCAGCGTGGTATGTATTGGTTAAACCCTTTAAGTAATGCATTGAAATCTATTGTCGAACAGTGGAATTTGGATAGTGGAAGAGTTTTAATCTTTGGAAGTAATCTATCTTCTCCATTAAACAGGTACCATCGTTCCTGCTGGATATGATCGGGGAGCCAGATGTGCCAGTGCCGGATGGCCAGGGCTGTTCCTACTGTGGTGGTCTCGGTCACAGAATTACAGGTATGACCGGTTTATTACTTCACTTTAAGGTGTTAGCTCCAGGGTGTCCCGCGAAATTCAAATTTTCTTGCGTTTTTTGAAATTTGCAGGTCAGGGTCAGGTTGAATGTTTAATAAAATATGATTCGTGACCGTAACGATTATGTGTTTATAGAATTATTATCATTAAAATCACCAATACAACCCTCTAAGTTCATATAATCCCTTTGAATGAGTTTTTCTGGAAATAAAAGGAAAGCCATACATACTACGAACATATGCGGTGGTATTGATGATTATAATGATTATAATTCTGTAAATACATACTCGTTACGGTCGCGAATCATATTTTGTTAAACATACAACCTGACACTGACCTGCAAATTTTTTTTTTATAGGAGAGGGGACAAACGAGCTTGCGGCTCACTTGATGGTAAGTGACTACCGCCGCCCAGGAACAGCTGCAACACCAGGGAGGGAATCGTAGATGCGTTGCCGGCCTTTTAAAAAGGAGTACGTTCTTTTCTTGAAGGTCCCTAAGTCGTATCGGTCCGGAAAAATCGCTGATGGTAATCGATTCCACAAGAAAGTCGTGCGAGGAAGAAAACATCTTCTAAATCGCACAGTGGTGGACCGCCAATCATCCAGATGGTGTGGATGGTATCGGGAGTTCTGCCGCGATGTGCGTTCGTGAAATTTGGCGGCTGGGATTAATCCGAACAATTCCTCAGAGCACTCCCCGTGGTAGATGCGAAAGAAAATGCAAAGGGATGCAACATCTCTTCGCAGTGCCAATGAATCGAGCCGATCGGAAAGGACTCGGTCGTCGACGATTCGAGCCGCTCTGCGCTGGATCGGTCAAGTGGAAGGAGCTGGCACTGGGGAGCCCCTGCCCAGAGATGGGAACAGTATTCCATGTGAGGCCGAATCTGCGCCTTGTAAAGTTGCAGGCGGTGTGCCGGCATGAAATACTGTCCCGCTCTGCTGAGCACGCCAAGCTTGTTAGAGGCCCATTTGGCCTTCTCTTCCAAGTGATCACGAAACTGCACGTTACTCGATATGTCGACTCCGAGGATTACGATACGGGCTGAGGCAAGAAGGGGAGTGCCTTGAAACTGAGGAGATACGACAAAGGCGTTCTTTTTAGCGGTAAACGCGCAAACTTGTGTCTTCTGATGATTAAACTGGACTAGATTTAGTCGCCCCCAATCCGAGACTATGTGCAGCAAAGACTCGACTTCAGACACAAGTTTGTTCTGGTACTCGGCGACATTTTCCCGAGAAATATTGGCACGGCCGGTGTATAGAGCATCACCAGTGCTGTCATCCGCATAGCAATGAATGTTACCAGTTAGCAACATATCATTGATATGCAGAAGAAACAGCGTTGGTGATAGCACACAGCCTTGTGGAACACCAGCGTTAATAGGGTTGTAGTCGGAGCATGCACCGTCTACAACGACCTTGATGTTCCGATCTGCAAGGAAGCTGGTGATCCAATCGCACAATTTCTCAGGAAGCCCATAGAAAGAAAGCTTCGAAAGAAGCGCTTTGTGCCAAACCTGATCGAAGGCCTTCGCAATGTCCAAACTAACGGCCAACGTCTCCCCCTTGGACTTTACTGCCTCTGCCCATCTATGGGTCAGGTAGACCAGAAGATCACCAGCTGATCGCCCTGAAGAAAACTGTATTGGCGGTCACTAATCAGCTGGTGATTTTCAAGGTACCTCATGAGCTGGCATCATTTTTCATCATTACAGCCCTTCACAAGTCCACTGCTGAACATAGGCCTCCCCCAAAGAATGCCACAAAGCACGGTCCTGAGCCACCTGCATCCATCGACTTCCTGCATGTCTTACCAGGTCGTCACTCCATCTCGTGGGGGGACGCCCTACACTTCGCCTACCGGTACGAGGCTGCCACTCGAGAACCTTTCTTCCCCATCGGTTGTCGATTCTTCGAGCTATATGGCCGGCCCACCGCCACTTCAGCTTACTAATCCGTTGGGCTATGTCGGTTACTCTGGTTCTACTGCGGATATCCTCATTCCTAAGTTTATCACGCAGAGAAACTCCGAGCATAGCCCTCTCCATAGCCCGCTGAGCCACCTTGATCTTCCTCATACGGCCAGCAGTGAAGGACCACGTCTCAGTTCCGTAAGTCATCACTGGCAACACGCACTGGTTGTACAATTTCGTTTTAAGGTTTTGAGGTATGTCTGACGAGAAGATGTGTCGTAGCTTCCCGAACGCTGCCCAGCCGAGTTGAATCCGTCGATTGACCTCTCGGTCGAAGTTGGACTTACCTAGTCGGACTATTTGTCCCAGGTAAACATACTCGTCAACAACTTCGAGCTTAGTGCTCCCAACAACTACCGGCATAGGTGTGACATGGACATTAAACATGATCTTTGTTTTGTCCATGTTCATCTTAAGACCTATCCGTTGGGAAACACTATTGAGGTCATTGAGCATAGTGCTTAGGCCCTCCAGCGATTCTGCCATAAGGACTATATCGTCGGCAAATCGAAGGTGAGTGATGTACTCGCCATTGATGTTGATACCGTATCCTTTCCAGTCCAGAAGCTTGAAAACGTCTTCCAATGCAGCGGTGAAGAGTTTCGGGGATATGACGTCACCCTGTCTTACACCTCTCTGCAATTGGATAGGTTTCGTACTCTGGTTCTGTACTCGGATAGCCATCGTAGCCCTACTGTACAAGCACTTCAACACTTCGATATACCGACAGTCAACTTGGCACCGCTGAAGGGACTGCAGCACCGCCCAAATTTCGACGGAATCAAAGGCTTTCTCATAGTCCACATACGCCAGACATAGTGGCAAATTGTACTCTTCGGACTTCTGTACAACTTGCCGAAGGGTATGTATGTGGTCTATGGTGCTAAAGCCCTTTCGGAAACCGGCTTGTTCGGGAGGCTGGAAGTCGTCAAGTCTGCGCGCGAGACGATTCGTAATGACTCTCGAAAACAGCACGTAGACGCGGCTCAGAAGGGAAATCGGTCTGTAGTTCTTCAAGAGAGCGTTGTCACCTTTCTTGAAGAACAAGACCACCGCACTTCTGCTCCACGCCTCCGGTGTAATGCCACCATGGAGGACAGAATTAAAGAGCTTCTGAAGGACTTCAAGTACCGGTCTTCCACCCGCTTTCAGAAGCTCCGCTGTAATTCCGTCCTCGCCTGGGGCCTTACCGTTTTTAAGGTGCTGGAGAGCCATCCTAATCTCGCTCAGACTGACATCCGGGATATCTTCGAAAAAAATTCTTCCGAAGATGAGCTGGCAGTTAATAACTAATTCCATTATTTTGGAGAACAAGGAGGTGATCGCGATAGGCCTATAGTTGGACGGGTCTGAGCGGTCGCCTTTTTTAGGGATCGGGTAGACAAAAGCTGTTTTCCATGAATTCGGGACTACGCCTTGGGAGTAGTAGTACCGGAAAAGACGCGTTAGGACCGGTGCCAACTCCGGAGCACACGTACTCAGCACAATTGGGGGGATTCCGTCAGGTCCACTCGACTTCTGGATGTCCAGGGGGAGGAGTGCTTTGCGAACCGAGCGCTGTGAGAACAGTACATCTGGCATGGAGCATTCACACCGCGAGATGGTCGGCGGTGTTTTCCCCCCCGTCATCAAGAGTCGAGTTGGACGCAAAAAGGGAGCCTAAAAGGACGGCTTTGTCTTTTGCGTTTTGGGCCAGTGAGTCGTCCTCCCTGTGCAGAGATGGTAGTGATGGCTTACAGAAATTCCCTTGGACAGCCTTGGCGATAGACCAGAATGCACGGGTTCCCGAAGGAAGGCGAACTATTTTCTCGCCAATTCTGCCTATGTGCTCTGACTTTGCCTTGGCAATAACTTTTGAAGGACCTGGAGGCGAAGTTATACTTCTTTTTAAGTATGCTGGTGTTTACATCCCGAGTCGCCGAAGCCGCAGCCCAGGCTTGATAACACTCCTGCTTACTGCGTAATGCAGTCTTACAGGAGCGACCAAACCAAGGCTGAGATCTGCCTCCGATGGGTACCACAGATGATGGAATAAATAGTTCCATTCCCTGTAGCACCACATCAGTGACAGAGTCAGCAACAACGCTGAGATCATCCGGCGAGAAGCAAACCCGCCCCCATGGGTAGGAAGCAAAGAAAGACCGCATTCCGTCCCAATCCGCCGACCTGTAATGCCAAACACGGCGGCAACCTGCAGAACGCAACCGCCAGGGGAGCGTGAGTGGCACCACACTCCGGATCAGACAATGGTCCGAAGAGCCGAGAGGGGAAAATCTACCATAACTTAAAATACAAATTCGACCAAGTTTTTATACACTACTAAAATCAGAAAATTATAATTGTGTTATATAGTAATTTAATTAATGATGTCAACTAAGCAATTCCATAATTCAATGATATGCATAATATAAAGTATTTGTTTGCAGAATGTCCGAAACTCGAGGCGGTACAAAACAAACAGGCGTCCAACATCGGGAGGAGGGATTATCTCGCCAACACAGCCGCGGATTATTAGTTCATTCATCAACTGGACGGTCGACTGGGTTCGATTTGCATAATCAGTACATCCAAACTATTAATCTTACTGTTTTGCGTTCACAACTGAATTTCCAAACAGGCTGTTCGCTTTCCATATTTTTTTTTTTACGGGATTTATAATATTATACAGTGTGACGCTACGTAAATACAATAAATAATAATTCGGTCATTACTGGTTTAAAAAAGTAATTCGGAATATTTAATTTTGTTCCAATGTCAAAATTAAACTTACCTATAAGCGCGGCAACGTCGCGTTCGTTCGCTTATTCGGTCACTGGCCAATACCATTTATACGAAATTCAGGATAGAACGTAGAGATGGCAACACCGCTTTCTTTGTTTTGATGACAGTTTATTGAACTTTATCGACTTTAGCCAAGTGAAAAGTAGTGTATGTACATCATGTGCAAAAATTACTGAAACGAAATAAATTTCCTGTGGAATACGGAATGTATTAGTTTTATTTTAGTGGTACGATAATAAAACTGTATAGTGTTGATGGTATCATTTATTGTATTTAACGTAGCGCCACCCTATATATGGGTAAGGTCGTCAAAAAATGTAATATAACGCACTGGAAGATATAGCACACGATGACACAATAACACACTGGAATTATGTAAAATAGGATTAAGTAAAATCCATTTTAAAATATTATGAATTATTGATTTTCTTGAACTTAAAATTAAATCATTAAAAACGAATTATAGACTATGCATAGACCTACAGCTTGCAGGTTTGCGAAACTAAACACCAAAATAACACAACACAATAGAGTTAAAGCCTTTAATGTGGATGCTACGATCGCCCGCCCATACATTTTTGTCTGTAGATACACGCCAAACATAGCCACTATTTGTTTAAAACGAATCATTTTATCACTTTTCGACACTAAAATGTGCACGCGGTAGACCTTTTTAGGAAAGAACTTACAGTATATAAAGAAGATAAACAATAGTGAAATCTAATCTAATCTTCTGCGCCCCCTTTTTCCTAAAGAGGGTCGCTTCCGATTCAACAGAAAGGCCATACAGGCCAATGCCAGTCCCACAGGTGGTGTTTAGTGGGGGTAGGCACTTAGGTTAGGTTAGGCTAGTCGCAGTGAGTCCCACATAACCACGCAGCTGGCTGTCGTGGTATGCTTAGAGCATACACCACCTCCCTCCCCCGCTTCCCGGAGGGTAGCCCTTTTCATTGCTTCTGGGCGCAAAAGATAGTGAAATCTAAGAAAATTTTGACACTTTTAGTAGTGTGAATGGCTTTTGAAAACTTTGACAAGCAAAAGCGTGAAAAGCTTAGTTTAGATATTGACACGCTAGATGGCGTGCAGATGATATTATAATTCTTATAAATCAATATCTTATATACCAAATTGATTTAACGTTAATTAAAAAAAACAATAAAATAACATAAAACTGACGACCTTTGACGGCAATGTAATCAATTTTATTTCTGTTGTTTAGCAACATAAATACGATTATTCGTGCAACAATGCCGTCCTTCCTAACCCTGACCTACATGATCTATATGTTGAAAGAAGAAAAAGCGTTTCCAAACTTCGTTCGCTTGTTTGACTATCATCATCATTACAGCCCTTCACAAGTCCACTGCTGAACATAGCCCTCCCCCAAAGAATGCCACAAAGTACGGTCCAGAGCCACCTGCATCCATAGACTTCCTACATGTCTTACCAGGTCGTCACTCCATCTAGTGAGGGGACGCCCTACACTTCATCTGCCTGTACGAGGTCGCCACTCGAGAACCTTTTTTCCCCATCGGTTGTCAGTTCTTCGAGCTATATGGCCGGCCCATTGCCACTTCAGCTTACTAATCCGTTGGGCTATGTCGGTCACTGGTTCTACTGCGGATATCCTCATTCCTAAGTTTATCACGCAGAGAAACTCCGAACATAGGCCTCTCTATAGTTCGCTGAGCGACCTTGAGCTTCCTCATCCGGCCAGCAGTGCAGGATCACGTCTCAGTTCCGTATGTCATCACTGGCAACATGCACTGGTTGTACAGTCTCGTTTTCAAGTTTTGAGATATACTTGACGAGAAGATATGCCTTAATTTCCCGAACGCTGCCCAGCCGAGTTGAATCCGTCGATTGACCTCTCGGTTGAAGTTGGACTTACCTAGTCGGACTATTTGTCCCAGGTAAACATACTCGTCAACAACTTCGAGCTTAGTGCTCCCAACAACTATCGTCATAGCGTTGCTTAAGTTCTAACATCACATTTGTCAAAAATAGCATCTTTTCAGGAGAGTGATAAAACTGCATAATTTAAATAGATTCCGTTACAGTTCCATTTTATAATTTGATTACACTTTATATTAGGTCTATTCACTATATAACCATTAGTTTTTAGTAAATATTTATAATTATCCTGAATTTTTTGACGTACGTACGTTTTCTTATTTTAATATACAAACTACACGACTTACGTGGGTTTGGAACAGCAATTATATTTTATTAAAATTCAATAAGTATTTTTTCTAACTAAACATGTATTCTTAATAATAAATACATTAGGTTTAATTGCTTTTTTACTTAATGAGATCTGTACTAAATTAACTCAAATAAGTGAGTCTTCTAGTATAGTTGGATAGTGTTACTTAAGTTTAAATAATTTAAAATTTAAAATGTTGTACAGCCGACTTCAATATAAGTTATTAAGAATAACTCATAAACTATTGGCCTGACCTTGATCAAATTCATGTGGGACCACACGAGAAGTACCAGCTTTCAAATAAAAAAAGAAACATCCAAATCGGTTTACCCAGTAAAAAGTTATGAGGTAACATACATAAAAAAAAAACATACAGTCGAATTGAGTACCATCTCCTTTTTGGAAGTCGGCAGAAAAGTCTTATTATAATCAAAACGAAACTCAATAACTTAACGAAATAAACAGTCTTACTGAAATATAAAATATTTGCATCTAAAAGAAAAAAAAAACTCAAAAAACTTCTTTAGAAATAAACTTATGAAACCTTGACAAAATATTATATAAACAGCAAATATTTGAAATCTTATTTACGCGGTAAACCGTCGTAAAAACTATGGCAATCAGCAGGAGTTATGTGTTTCAATTCTTGTAAATGAGTCTACTTTATCTGTAATATTGGCAGCCTGCTTTGGTAAAGCTTTGGTTTCGGAAAATTCGTGGAAAAACTCATAGCTGAGAATATTAACGTTATAAAACTGCTGAGGACGAGCTTCTTTTGAAAGAGACCCATACTGCGATGGCAGGTAGATGTCTCTGTTTTTTATTTGACACACTATTGCACTATGAGAAGAATCTACCTCCATCTGCGTATGACCCTTTTCGAGAATTGTTTGGGTGATCTGGATGTTGTCATTGCCAAATCCAGCAATGCATTAGATAAAATCACATTACGATTTTGTGCTGTGCAGTCATCAGAGTACAAAATTATAGGCAACAGCTCCTTGGCCAGAGTTTTTTTCAGACAGTCCCTGCAGTACACTCATCGAACCAAAGACAGTGCATATTATCCTTGTTTTCAAGATTGTACATAGTGAAGTTGTGAACACATAGTTTCGTTTTATAATATATTACACTAGCTTCAAGTTTAGAACACAGCTGTACCGATTGTAAATCATGTGCCATGCGCTTTTAATGCCTTCTTTAATATTGGAATCAATTTCATTATATTTGCCATGCTTTCCTCTTTTTTCTTTTTCAACAATACCGTATTTATTATTTTTAGCAATGACAGTTGCTATTGGTCTATTATTTATAGCTAAAATACTTTTAAAAAATAACTTATAGACACGAATTTTAGCATTATTAACTTCGAAGCAAAAATAATGTTTAGGACCCCTTTTGCTACTATGCATTTTATATTTGGAAGTAATCATTGAAATACTATTTGCTAAGAAATCCTGCTGTATCGTCAAATCACCAAGTTTCAAATAAAAACTCTCTCTCCTGTTGCGTAATTTTCATTGACTTTTAAGTTTAATCCTTTTTATGACTTGAGTAAAGAAGTGTATATTGTTGTCCACTCTATTACGAAGCATTTTAGCTTCCTTAATTTTAGAAATGTTTCTTTTGCATTTACGTGTGCAAGAGGTACTCACACTTGGCTGCTGGATTGGACCAACTTCTTGCACTACCTCGTGAATCCTTGCCTTCTGAATTGAATCAACTTTGTGCACTACCTCGTGACTCAAACCTTCGACATGTACTTTATGCATTAAATTATCATGTTGAAACACGATGTGTAGGTGCAACTGGTTCTACGTAGTCAGGATCGTTATCTGCTTCATCAGGGGAAAAGTCCTTACATGATCGAAAAAAGAAAGCAAAAACAACAAATTTACAACACATTCAAGCACAACAAGAATAAATTAGGTGTAACTTTAGGTTACTACCTAAAGATGCACTAGATGATGACGATGAATATGTGCTAGTTGACGAAGATGTACTAGAGCTAGAAGAATCAGACCTTGGTCTCCTAGTAGGTAGAAAATTTTCTGTCGCTATCACAAATAAACCGTACCACTAATAGATGTCACCGGCATCATCTCATTTTATGGATATACATTATTAACACCCACTAATTCTTTAGAAGATTTTATCAAAAGTGCGGCTGCAGTAGATGATCTCAGTTCTTCAGGAATAGCATAATTTAGCAACAGTGGTTGCATCTCAAGAGGAGATTTGTTAGTTTGTACAGTAGGTTTAGGAGTATACAAACAATTTGTTGATTCAGTTTCTAAACAAGATTGCATTTCAGGAGCCGTTTCACAACTATGCGAATTTTCATTTACGACATTATGAAGGGGACTATAAAATAAATATAATAAAAGTCACACTTTTGTAATAATCGAAACAATAAACTCGAGAATTTATTTACTAAAAAATTCTACTAAACAAATAATCACTATTTTATGCTAAATATTAATTTCATAATTTTATCCAGAATGTAAGTTAAACGGATTATCCAAAAG